GAGAGAGAGAGAGAGAGAGAGAATTGATTAATTGATTGATTAATTGATTGATTGCTCAAAACAAAGAGATTCTAATTACTTGAATCTACTTCTCCTTCAATGTTGAACTTGATTCACCTTTGTTGTCGATCTTTTTATTAATTATAATTCTCTATGTTCCATTAACGAAGATTATGTTGTTTTCAGGTGAGTTAGGGTTTCTGAGCTTCCTTTTTCTTGTTTCTGTTTCTAATTTTAGAAGTTCTGTATGAATTATGATATACAGATCTGTTGTTTGATGAGCTACTGATGTAAAGATTCCACCTTTAGTTTTTCCCAGTTGTTTTCACTGTAACAGTTTGATGAAGTTCAAATTGTCCACAATTTTGTACTGATTTACTATTTTGATATTAGATTAGTAGCTTATACTTCAATTGAACTTTCTCTTTGATCTCCCATGGAAATTGACTATAGGTTTAATGCTGCAATTCAAATTTACCAATTTATCACTGAAGAATTTAGGTGTTTGTGGTTTTTAAATTTGTAGTATCTTTGTTGAATTATGGGTGGAAGATCAGAAGAAATTGAAAATTGGAGTGCTTGTGGAAAGTGAAGTATGTATTTTTTAGAATGGGGAGCTAGGTAAAAGAAAAGTGGATATGTGGACAGAAATAGGTTGAGCATCATATACTCATTTAAATTGAGTCTTAACACATTTGACAAGGCTCCGTAGAGTTTCCAAAACATAAGTACTATCTAAATTTGACGATAGAAAGGAAGGTGAGTTGAAGCAAGTGGGCAAGCGGCTCCCCATGTTAATAGTTGTATCAGTAATTATAAAGCTATACATTTGCCATTTGTGTATATATTACATGTAGGTTGATGGTTTTAGTTGTCGCTTATTCAGCCACCCACTTACTTCCACACACACACACAAAGACACAGACATGCAGACCGAGAACACCAACATTTTTTTTCTCCTTTTCCTTTATGTACTATTCATCTTGTTATAGTTGTTGTTTCTGTGACAGGATTTATTTTGTTATAGCAAAAGCTAGTGCATAATGGGTGTGTCAGGGAAGTGGCTGAAGACATTGGTTGGCTTGAAGAAGTCAGATAAATCCAAATCTTCTTTGGAAAAATCAAAATCTGCGGAGAAGGATGACAATGTTGGTAACATCTTTTTTGATACACACACACACACACACACACACAACTAAAACAGTAGTATGCTGCATATATGTATATCCTGCAATTAGAAGCCTTTACAGTCTTAAATAAGTGGTAACCAGAAATTTTAAGTTGTAAGTTCCAAATTTCATTTTGGCTTGTTTAGAGTAATGAAGTTGCTGTCCTGTCTACCTTTCAATCACCACCAATAATAGAATAACGGGCAACAAAAAAGCATGAAAAGATAGGTAGAAACACAGTAGAGATATGTAATTTGCGTGTGTGATGCTAAATTCAGCTGGCCTAAAATTTAGCTGCATCTATTAGTAAACGGGCTTTCTCTTATTTCTCCCATGTATCTGGCTTTGTTCTGTATGTAATTAGTTTATGTTCTGTGATGACATAAATAAGTTCCAAGTTCATCTGTGGTTAGAATGACGAAAAATTGCATGAAAAATGGTTGCTGTGTATCATATTTTTTTTTCTTTTCTTGTACTTGATGAACAAGTACAAAATTGATGTAGTATGAACAGTGTTTTTATAGTTTTTGACCATTCCTTTGAACAATCATGTTTAACTCAGTTTAAGTACTCAAAGTGGCCTTTTGAGTTGTTATGGAAAGCTTTAAAGTTTGTGTTAAAGATTGAATCTATGAAATAGATGTTTGACCCATTTGTCATGCAATTGTTCTTAATCTTAAGATACTATTTTTACGAAATTGGATTGTTGGATGAGACAAATAGCAGATATTGATTACTAAAGTGTTGTGGGTACAATCTGTATCATAATGTTGTCTCAATCTGGTTAAGCATGCTTCATTTATTTGAGTAAGACAAACAACTTGATAGATACATTGTTGTGTATTTAAGTTGCTTGCTGTTTATACTTTATATAGTAAATTTGTTGAGATATTTATCTTTTAACAGCTCTCTCTCTCATACATGCAGAAGTCAGTTAGCGGCGGTCGATTTTGGCATCGAAGGAAGAGCTCCGTCGATTTTAGTGTTAATAATCTTAAAGATGAGTTTGCTCACAGTTCAGCTCCACAATCAGGCGATGCAAATATCCAGTCCAGCCCAGATACTGCCAGCTCGCCATCCAGCTCACTCCAAGTGCATAATGTAGCTCAAACTCAACAAAAATCAAAAGAAGAATGGGCTGCCACACACATCCAGACAGCTTTTCGAGGATTTCTGGTGCAAAGCTTATTTCTATTATGTCATTGTTGTCATTGTTCTTTGACAGATAACTATCATAATTTTGATTTATATTATGAAATATATTATGGTAAGGGAGTGACCAAATTTTAAACGCACCATTCAATACAAAACCATTAAATGAACCGCTTCAATGCATGATGCACTCCATCTTGTAATCTTTAGCATCAATTGATATGAGCATTCTCGATATAAACAGACCATTTAATTGCCTGAATTGATAACCGAGACCAGTAGTGGGAATATTACAATGTTAGATTTATGAAAAGTATTCCAAATGCTTCTGAAAAGAGAACTTTGGGTCAGTTATTTATAAGGAATCCTGGTGATAGTATATAGATCTGGTTGAGGAATTCGTTGTTTTTTTTCATTCCTCTGCATGGGGTGGTTTATCTTGAGTGGCATCATGTGATAAATGGCTTATGTATGTCAATCTTCCTCATATATCTTAGGTCAGATAAATGCTCCCACTATGTTATTATTTTGCATTTTTGCCCGCGTCGGACACTATGATTCTATTAGCTTCAAATTTCTAGGGAGACTTCCAAACATCGATACATTTCCTAAGTAGGTATACATTATATGTTTGAAACTTTGGATTAATATTTCATGCAAAATCAACCAATGGATGTACAATAGGAGAGAAGATTAGCATGGCCCCTGCTCAAGGATGTCACGCACAATTTTTTTATTTTTTATTTTTCAAATATTGTCCAGTAGTACTCGTTAAATGCTTATTTAGCTACTAGTTATAACTCGTGCCTTTGCCATGTTCTTGTAAAAGTTGTCTTAGACAATGTTAGATTACAAGGCAACGTCGAACCTAGAAAAAATGTACTCGTATTTGCTTAGTAAAGAAGGTCAGCTGAGATGCAATTAGAATTCAAGCATGAACCTTCTTCACATTTAGCATAATTGATCAAACTCACTATAGACACAATGTCAATGTAATTGTGGGATATTCCTATATTTTACTACTTCGATCGAACTCACTATAGACACAATGTCAATGTAATTGTTACCTATTTCTTTTGGACACTTATAGATTTTGATGTTTCATCCTTCTATCTTACTCACCTGTGTCTTATTATATTTGCCAGGCTAGACGAGCACTGAAAGCTTTGAAAGGGTTGGTGAGACTCCAGGCCCTAGTCAGGGGTCATGCAGTGAGAAAGCAAGCTGCTATTACTCTTCGTTGCATGCAAGCTTTGGTGAGAGTTCAAGCTCGTGTTCGCGCACGACGTGTTCGAATGGCCTTAGAAAGTCAGATGTCTCAACAAAATGTTCAGCAACAGCTTGTACAAGAGGCTCATGTTCGAGAGGTTGAGGTAAGTATCTAATAATCTTGTCGGTACCATAACCTTTTGGAAATAAGGGAGCTTTCATATTTTTAGTCCATTCTATGTTTATTGCTATTCATGCATTTGAAGTTTCCTAACTTCACTAGGATTTATTAGTTTGTTGGGGCTATCATCAGGCATGTGCCATTGTTTATATAACATGGAAAGTAATGTGTCTTTACTTGGTTTTTTTCCTAAGACCAGTATAATGGTATTTAATTTCTTCTGTCATTTCATGATGTTCCTAACTTGAGAAAGAGGTACTTATATTGAAACTTAGAAACTAGCAACAGGAATCTATCACTGCTGACTATAGTTTGACACTTTGACGTATATTATGTGACCAATGGGTTAGATCTTACATTCTGATCTGATTACAATCAACTCACTTTTGTCAATATTACATTATTCCTAACTTCCATATTTGATCTGCTGCTACTTCAGTTTAGGCTGCTGCACGATTATTTTACTTATATTTATTGCTCATGTCAGGAAGGGTGGTGTGACAGTGTTGGTTCTGTGGAAGACATTCAGGCAAAGTTGTTAAAGAGACAAGAAGCAGCTGCCAAGCGTGAGAGAGCCATGGCTTATGCCATGACTCATCAGGTATTTTTTC